ACTTTCCTTTAAGACCCATTTTATTGAGTATTTTAATCATCACTGCATGTTGTATCTTATCAAATGCTTTTTCTGCATCTATTGATAAGATCATATGACTTTTTATCTTTTATTTTATAACTGTGGTGTGTTACCCTGATTGATTGTATATGCTGGCTGAGTTTTCCTTCTGCCCTTAGAATGAACCCCACTTAATCACGATGTATTATTTTTTAAAATGTATCATTGCATTCCATTGCCTAGTATTTTGTTTAGGATTATTGCATCTTCATTTGTCAGTGATATTGGTCTGTAGTTTTCTTTTTCTGTGTTATTCTTGCCTGGTTTTGGTATGAGGGCTAGGTTGGCCTTATAAAATGTGTTAGGAAGTATTGCCTCTTCTTAAATATTTTGGAAGATTTTCAGAAGAATAGGCATCAAATTTTCGAATATTTGGTGGAATTTACTAGTGAAGCCATCTGGTGCTATATTTTTATTTTTTGCATGTTTTTTGATGGCCATTTTTAGTCTTTATGCCTATGTTCCCTCCCTTCTCTCTCTTTCTTTTCTTTTTTTATTTTTTAAAATATATTTTATCGATTTTTTAAAGAGAGGAAGGGAGAGGGATAGAGAGTTAGAAACATCGATGAGAGAGAAACATCGATCAGCTGCCTCCTACACACTCCCCACTGGGGATGTGCCCACAACCAAGGTACATGCCCTTGACCGGAATCGAACCTGGGACCCTTGAGTCCACAGGCCAACGCTCTATCCACTAAGCCAAACTGGTTAGGGCTCTCTTTTTCTTCTTATAACAGTCTCTTTAGCATTTCTTGCAATGCTGGTTCGGTGGCAATAAAGTCTTTAGCTTTTGTGTGTGTTTTTTGTGTGTGTGTCTGGGAAGCTATTTATTTCACCTTCAATTGTGAATGATAGCTTTGCTGGCTAGAGTAGTCTTGGATTCAGATCCTTGCTTTTCATGACTTTGAATACTTTGTGCCATTCACTTCTGGCTTATAGTGTTTCTGTTGAGAAATCAACTGACAGCTTTATGGGAGCTCAATTGTAGGTAACTGACTTTCTTTTGCTGCCCATAAGATTCTGTCTTTGTCTTTAAAGTTTGCCATTTTAATAGTGTTGTATCTTGATGTGGGTCTCTTTGTCTTCATGTTTATTGGGACTTTCTGAACTTGTATGACATTTTCCTTCTCCAGGTTAGGAAGTTTCCTTTCAGTCTTTCTTCAGACAGGTTCTTTCTCCCTTGCTCACTCTCCTCTCCCTCTGGTACCCCTATTTGTGTGTATTGTTACGCTTCATGTTGTACCAAAGTTCCCTTACACTATCCTGTGTTTTTCTTTAAAAAAATTTTTTTTGTTGTTTCTCTGACTGTTTTTCTTACATTGTCCTTTAAATCACTGATTCTCTCCTCTGCTTCTTCCAGCCTATTTTAAATTTTTTTTCAGTGTATTTTTGATGTCAGCTATGGGACTACAGGCAACTTCATTTCTGACTGGTTATTATTCATGAAAGCCATTGTGATCATCATTTCAGATCTGACACTTCTCACCTGTGTTGGTGTAACTGAGGAAGGCAAAGGATATCATTGTAACAGAAGTGTCTGGGTTGGATCATAAATAAAATTAGACTCTGTTTTAATGTGGAGTTAGATGAAGGAAACACTATACTCTGTGTTATAATGGGATCCCAGGGCATTGAGAGGGAGTACTTAATAGGCTAGGAGGTAGCAGTTAACAGAAGCTAAGTTGCAAACAGAGAAAACATATAGGGCTTCTGAAATAAAAGTCACCGTAAATAGGAGTTTGTGTAGCAACCAGGATCAGACTTGTCAGGTAGGCTCTGTGGGGAGTGGAGAGCAATGGTTCAGTTCAGCCTCCATGTTGATGCAGATCTCTGGGAGGCACACGAGCATCCTAGGATGGGGATGTTAATAATGAAAGAGTTTTATCATTTGGGCACAAGTGGCTCTACTATGGGATCCTGCTTCAAAAAACTTGCATTATGGGAAACAAGAGCCTTTCCTACCAGCCGAGGAAACTGGCATTATAGCCTCTTCAACACACAAGGAGATGCCACAGCAGCAACAACACCCAGGAGCAGCCGGCACCACCAATGGAGTGGCCAAAGGAGAACATTGCAGGAATTGGGCAGCTGCTGTGTGGACCTAGGCAAAGGCTTGATGCAAGAGGTGAAGTCACAGGGATCTAGAAGGGAGCAGAGATGACAGCAACAGCAGTAGGTCAGGCAACTGCCCCATGGCCACTGGAAGTGAGAGTTTCCTGGGGGACGCCCGCAATAGTGTATCAGCAGCTCAGGGGTCCAAACTGCTTCCTAAAGCAATACACAGAGGAAACACCAGCTATGGAAGTGGAGAGATGAAGGCAAGGATGTAAGGACATCCATCCCATAAAAAGCAAATGGGGGCTCTCCAACATCTACACCAGGAAGCTAAGGAGTGACCCCTGCAGGTGGCAGCTCCCCTGCCACTGTCCTCACAGAATGCTGCAGCCTCTGCAACCCCTCTAGCTCCTCCACCCCTGCCCAGAAATGCCAAGAAGCTCCCAGCTCTTTCCCACTATCTGGGTAGTAATGTTGAGGTGAAGGACAAAGAGAAGTTGGTACAACAAGCCATGCTCTTGAAATATGCAAATGCATATGCTTCTGCAATAGTTGTAGATTATTGTGCAACTTGCTTTCTCATCTGCCTCTCACTCTGCTTCCCTGTCTTTGGTCTTCTCTGGAACTCAGATTCGTGGAAATCTGTAAAACCCAGACATTGATGATGCCGATGAACTCACAGGGCTCAGTGAAGTGCAGATGAGGTCATCCACTGAATGTGCTCTGTAAACTCTGAGGTGACATGTGTGTGGTGCTGGGAAAGTTTCCAGAACCCAGGTGGGGGTGAGAGTGAGTCAACAGGGAAGAAAATTGTCCAAAAGTGTTCTTAGAAGACCAACACCTGGTGGTTCAGCATAAATAGCCTGTGCCTGTGGGCCAAGGAAACGCTCATTTGCCTGGAGACCCTGACCCTGGAGGAAGCAATGGTGAGTGTCACTGAGGGACTGTCTTTTTGTTTCCTTTGTGCCCAGTGAATGTCCCCCTGCCCATTTGGGGTGCTCTAATGCACTGGTGTTGAGGAAGACAGGGTCTATGTAGCTCTTCTGCTCTGGGAGGTTTGGGTGTGGGTGTGGGTATGAGAGGGCAGCATAGTGGGGGAAGAAGGACCATTCTTCTGCCCCTCACTCTGCTTCCTTTGCTCAGTGGGAGATTAGCCTTCTGGGCTGGGGGACGGTGGGTGAGTGGGATATGACACCCACCCGGACCCCAGATGCCATTGTCAGGAAGCCTCAGTTGGGAATGCAATTTCAACTTCTCACTTGGCTCTCTCCATCCCTGATTTCTTCAGAAAAGAAGGTGGTGGAGGAGAAACAGCCCCGGCCTTCTCAGGCCTGGTGTCAAAGTCCATCCTGGTACCAACTGCCTGTTGGACCCGGATAAACATGATTTTCTGTTAGCTCATATTTTGCTCTAAAAATACACCCACTGGACAAGTTACTGATTTCCAATTAATTTTTAGAGGCGTCATTTTTCAATAATACTTTAGTCTGACATTGAGGCATAAAGTGAACACTATGTTGGTTTAAGGGGATGTGGCTCTGCCCAATACCTCTATAGGCCCAGGGAGGAGGCCTCATCCAAGTCCTAGGTCCCCAACCCTGTGAGGGGGCTCCTCCCCAGGCCCCTTTCTGCTACAATGAGCTGTGGTGCCCTCTGTGCCATCTTGAGCTTTTGGGCAAAATGCCTGTCGCTTTTCATTCTTCCCCAGATGTGGGCACAGGGCCCTTAATGTGGCAGCTGCACACCAGGGGGCAATGCCCTGGCTCTGGCTGGAGCCTTTGGTGCTTGTGGCCGAGCCTCTGCCCCAGCAAGTGCCACTCTGCTGGCCTTGAGCTTGCCTGGTGTTTAGAGACTCCCATGGTGCCCGAGGAAGTGGTAAACTCAGAATGAGAAAGAACTGGTGCCAACAGGGTCCTCCACAGCCCAGAACCACCAGCAGGTGGAGAAGAAAGCACTTCTGTGGCCAGGAAGGCCCTCCACTGCCTCCCCCTCAGGCTGCCTGGCGATCCCTTCTCCTTTGCTCTGTCCCTGAGGCTTGTTCTCAGCCTCTGTACTCCCATGTGTGCTTTCCTGGCTCCTAACTTTAAGGTTTCTCTCAAGAGGAAAGAAGCCCACCATTGGGAGTGACCAGGCTCTGGACCCAACCTGAACTCTCTTAGCTGAGGAGTCCCTCTCACATGTCAGTGGACACCCTATTGAACATCTGCTTTTTCTCCAACTAAAACCCCCCTTTCTCTGAGGGAGCTCACCTCACATGCCCTCCTCCACCAGGCCCCTCTCCCCATTCATCCCAGGTGGAGGGGTAGCACTCTAGGCGTCCCCGGGTCTATCAGCTATTCCTAGAACTTTTTCTGAGTTCCATCTCGAACTTTCTTCATGGAGACAGTGTCTAGTCCAGGAATGGCAGACCACCTGGCAAACATGTAGCCATGTACCCATCTTGTGTTAGGACAGATGCCACTGAGCATTCTGGCTCTCTCCAGACAAGCACTGAAACTACCAGTGCTGGTCCATCCAAGGCTACAAGTGACAGGAAATGGGATTGCCCAGCCATCTTACTGATACAGACAGGGAGACGGAGGTTCAAATAGGGGAACTGTCCTGCCCAAAGACACTTCATGAGTCCTTCCTGATGTGACAGGTGGCCTCAGTGAGGAGTTCTCATCCTAGTCGTGCCGATGGCAGTGAAAGGGAAGTCACTAGAAGGGACAAAATGGGGCATCTGAGAAGAGGTAGATGTTGCTGATAACCCATGTCAGCGTTCAGCTGAGTAACTCATGCCCTCCCAGGCCAGACTGTATGGCCGCCTTGTCCTAAATTGCTTTCGGAGTCCTGCTGCTCCTAATCCCACAGAAGGAGCGAGGTGGTAGGAAAGTGCCTCTCTGAATTCCGTGTGCTGGGCTAAGCACTAACCCGTGTTCTGAAACCAACACCATGTCCTTTTTCTTTGTGTCCACCCCTGAAGGCCATGCTTCTTCTCCTCTCCATGCTGGTCCTGCTCACACAGCCTCCAAGGTCATGGGGAGCAAATGTGAAGACCCTTTCCCGGAAACCTTTGATTGATAACTGCACCCTGGTCACGTGTAGCCCTGTGGAGAATGGCCTGCCTGGTCGTGATGGACAAGATGGGAGAGACAGCCCCCGGGGCGAGAAGGGGGATCCAGGTAGAGCTGGGACCGTGGGCTTGTCCTGGTGGGCATGGGTGGGCACTGGAATTGTAACCAACTCAGCAAGTCTGGATGTTCTGCTGTGGAAGCCCTGGAAATGGAAACCCACCTCCTTGGGAAGAAGTCCCCTAGACATTCAGTCCACCTAAAGCACAGTGCTACCAGTTGGCAAATGACAGGCTGTCCTGAGCCCCGAGGTGTTATTCCCCTCCCCTAACCGTCAGGATTCCTCCCCTAGGGTCTTCTGATTCCTCTCACCCGAACAATGAGCAAATTGTGGGTAAATGCCTGGTCTTTGGGGCCCGGTGGAACTAAGCTGCGGCACTTATAGTTGGTCATTATGGTTGAATGATTTCTGTGCAGTGTGTGAAATATTTAACTAAATTCTACTGCATTAGAGGTTGGCAAAGATGAGGTTCTGTGGCCCCACACTCAGGCCTGATCAAAAGGATTTACTTAAATGCACTACGGAGAGGAGGAAAGGGAGCTCATATTTTATAACTGGAAGTTTGTAGCTTTTGACCTTCACCCGTTTTTCCCACCACCCAGCTCCCATCTTAGGCAACCACCAATAATCTGATCTCCACATTTATGAGTTCAGGTTCTTTATTTTGTTTCTTAGAATCCAGATATAAGTGAGATCATATTGTATCTGTCTTAATTTGTATGACTTCTGGCACTTAGCATAATTACTTCAAGATCCATTCATGTTGTGGCAAATGGTATGATTTTTTTTGTCCCTAAGTATTACAGTGTGTGTGTGACATTTTTATCCATTAATTCATTATGGACACTATTAGGTTGTTTCCATCTGTTGGCTACTGTAAAAAATGTTGCAATGAACATGAGAGTAGAGATACGTTTTCAAATTAGTGTTTTATTTCCTTTGGATATAACCCAGATGTGGTATTGCTGGATCATATTTATTTTTAAAATTATTATTTTTTAAAAAAAATATTTTTATTGATTTTTTACAGAGATGAAGGGAGAGGGATAGAGAGTTAGAAACATCGATGAGAGAGAAACATGTATCAGCTGCCTCCTGCACACCCACTACTGGGGATGTGCCCACAACCAAGGTACATGCCCTTGACCAGAATCGAACCTGGGCACCTTCAATCCACAGGACGACGCTCTATCCACTGAGCCAAACCAGTTAGGGCTAAATTATTTTTTTAATATCTTAAGGAAACTGCATATTGGTCCCCATAGTGGCTGCACCAATTTACAATCCCACCAACAGTGCATAGGAGTTCTTCCTCTTCACATCCTCACCAACACTTGAGATCTTTTGTGTTTTTTATAGTCGCCATTCTAGGAGGGGTGAGATGATATCTCTTGGGTTTGATTTGCATTTCCCTGGTGACTCATGTCAGGGATCATTTCTGATATAAAGTTTGGTCCTAGGAAGGGGAAAGCAAGGAGTCCATGATCCAGGATAAAAGCTGGCAGACCCCGTGCCAACCTCAGCCTCGGGGCAGGGAAGGTACACTTCATGGAAATCAGACAGTTCTTCGCTTAACCACCCCTCCAGCTCTGGCAGGCCTGTTTCCTCACCTGTGAAACGGGGATGTGCACACCCGTCTCCTGGGTCACCACTGGACTGACGAGTGTGGAGGTGGAATGTCTACACCTGTGGAACCTGAAGGAATGCAGGGCTGACCTGCAGGTGCTGCGCCTCCTAGGCCCAGGGCCAGGTTTATGCCCATTTCTTCTGCTGCTACAGGTTCACCAGGAGCTACAGGGCGAATGGAGATGCTGGATGTCCCCAAAGGGGACAATGGCTCTGCTGGAGAACCTGGACCTAAGGGAGACTCGGGGCCACGTGGTGAGCAGTGGGCGTGGACTGCAATGCCTGCCACTAGGCCATGCAGGAGGATGCACATACCCATCCCAGGAAGGAGGGTGGCCTGGGGGTGGCACTGGGTTCACGCAGGGAAGGCGGTAATACTGCTGGGCGGCGTCTGTAGGACGGTGCTGTTCTCTGACCTCTATGACTGCTCTCACCTTCTCACGCTCTCCCCCTTCTGAGAAGACTCCATGCACTGACTGGCTGGTCATTTGCCTAGGACCTCCGGGACCTGCAGGTGTGCGCGGGCCGGCTGGAAGAGAGGGTCCCTCAAGAATACAGAGGGATGTAGGACCCCAAGGTAAACCAACCCCCAAAAGAGAGCCTGGACCCAAAGGTAGGAGGTTGGTGTGTGGAGGTCCAGAAGGGAGAGGGAGGAATGAGGTTGGCAACCCATTATGTGAACTAAGGATGCTCAGTGTGCCAGTGAAGCGAGGCCATCACCACTGGCAGGCCTTGCTGTGGCCCCTGAACCGCCCCCCCCCCCCAAGCCCGCACATCTGGAGGAGCCCAGGCAGTGGAGTGCACAGTCCCCCAGTTCCCCTTCTCTACGTGGAGGTGAGGAAATCATCCAGCCTGCAGACACTCTCAGCAGCCTTTGTCCTAATCTGTACCTTCCTCAGGAGAAGTGGGTGCCCCAGGCGTGCAGGGCTCTGCAGGGACAAGACGCTCCCCCAGGTCTCATAGGGGAGAAAGGTGCCCCTGGTGAGAGTGGAGACCCTGGATTTGCAGGGGCAGCTGTGACAGTGGCTGTGGGCTTCCTGAGGTCCAGCTCCTTACCTCTCCCCCAGGAAACCCTGTCACTGAGCACCCTTCCCTTGGACCCGGACTCTGAGCCAATTCCTGACTGTGAGGGACTGGTCTTCACTGTGCCTCTCTCTCCTGCAGACATCAGTGCTCTGTGGCAGCAGCTAGAGGCCTTGCAGGGGCAGATAAGACGCCTGCAGGGAGCCTTCCTTCAGTATAAGAAAGGTGATTTCCTGGACCTGGACTTGAACCTGAGACAGTCGCCAAGGGCAGGCCCCAGGCAGGGTCTGTGTTGGGTTTGGAGTTGGCCGGGCCTGAGGCAGGCCTGGTTCTAGGATTGGGGGCTCTAGGATGCTAGTGGGTTTGGACAATGGGCTGGACCTGGGACTGGGGCAGGACCTGGGGCTAAGCATAAGGTGGGGCAGAGCAGGGCAGCCACATGGACCAGGAGCTGGAAGCAAATTCAAGGGACACGGAGCAGGGTGTGGCCCCTACAACAGCTCAGTGGGTTGGTGCCAGCATGGTCAAGGCTACCAGGCTCCAGCCTCCAACATCACAGCCACCTGTGACCCGAGCCAGATCAATGCCCCAAGCCCAGTGCAGGTCAGGCCTTCCCTCCTGCTAACCTGTGCTTATCCCTGGACACCCCACTACCCAGGATGCATTTCTTATCTCTATGGGGCTAGGTGTGCAAACCCCTCAAGATGATGCTGCCCAGCCCACAGCAGCAGCGACTCCAGACACTGTCCTGAGAGTTGGGGCTGGGATGCTGTGCTTGGGATCAAGGCTGTGAGGGTCTGACCTTGGCATGTGGCCATTGAGAGTCTCACCTGAGACAGGCCCTGGGTCCGGCAGGGGGCAGGCTGCCTCTGGGCTCTGCCAGTGCTGGGCTCTCCCGCTGCTCCCTGGGTGTTCATGGTGGAGACTCTCCCCCAACCTGGGTGCTGAGGAGTCAGAGGCTCCAGCAGCACAGCCCAGTGCCTGTGCCTGTGGGCATCTCCACCTCAGTCCCTAATTTCCCCCCCTCCTCCCCGCTTTCCCCATGTCAGCTTTGAGCTCAAATCATTCAGCAAATCTCATTGATCCAAAGAGGAGTTTCTGAAGGAGGAGAGCACACAGGGGAGAGACATGGAGTTAGCTCCTACCTACCTAAAACCACTAAGTACCCACGTACCAAGGGTGAGGTTTCAAGCATTTGGTATGTCTCCCTCTCTCCACAAACATGCATGTGTGCTTACTCACTCACATGCACACTGATGCAAACAAAGGAAAATTCATGGTATACACCTGACACACCTGTGTGTATTACACACATGCCATCACTCACCTCATGTTATCTACACCCATGAGCACACACCCATATTCACACACACCAGGTGGGCCTTCAGTGCTCCCATGTGCCTCCAGATGGGCACGTGGCCATATTCGTGTATGCACACACAGACCCACCCGGGTGCAGGTAGTGAATGGCAGAGGAACTCCTGTCCAGGGCTGCTCCGGGTGCCCTCCTGAGCCTGTGGAGAGTCTGCCTCCTGAACCCTTGTGGAAGGGTCACAGTGGGTCAGGGTGCAGCCAGGGCTCCTCACCAGCCCTTTGGGGCTGCAGCACAGCCCTCTCAGGAGCCCTGAAGGCTTTTATGCAAGAACCCAGAAGTCAAAGGGATGGAAAATGAGCCCGGCCAGCGTGGCCCAGTGGTTGATTGTCTGCCTATGAACCAGGAGATCATGGGTCCATCCCTAGTTAGAGCATGTGCCTGGGCTATGGGCATGGTTCCCAAGAGGGGTGTGCAAGAGGCAGCCAATCAATTATTCTCCGTCATCATTGATGTTCCTATCTCTGTCTCCCTCTCCCTTCCTCTCTGACATCACTAAAAAAATATTAAAGCACACACACACACACACACACAATAACAACAACAGCAACAACAAAGGGATAGAAAATGAGATGGAATGAAAACATATAGTTAAATGTCACACAGGTGATGCTTTTATAAATTGTATTCCCATCTTAGAGATGAGGAACTGGAAACCCTGAAAAAGGAAGTGACTTTCCCTTGTCCACCTGGACAGTCATGGCCAAGGCGGGGCTGAATACCTGGCCCTCTGACTCCCAGACAGGCCTCTCTCCAGCACTGACTCTCTCCTGCCCCTGACGCCCAGGCACACCTCTCAGCTGTCCTTGTCCTCTCTCCCAGCTCTCCAGCCTCCCCCACATGCACACCTAGAGGCCAGCACTGGGCGCACACAGATGGCCCACCCTCTCCTCTTCTTTTCCACATCCACACCCAGCACGAACCCCTTGTCATTGACTCATGCCCTGCTGTTATGCAGGGTCCACAGTGAGATCAAAGGGAGCACCTTCCTTATTTCCAGCTCTCAGAGGCTGCACGATGCCAAAGCTTCCCAGTCCCGCCCAGTAATTGGGAAACCGATTCTGCCATGTAACATGGGGTGAAACAGAAAGAGCACATCTTAGCTCTAGTGTGAGATCAGATAAGAGTGAGCCCCCAACTCTGCATGTGATGGTCACATGGAGTTGAGCCTCTTACTTAACCTCTCTGAGCCCAGTGTTCTCACCTGTAACTAGACAGGCAGATCCGCCTCCCAGAGCGCACCATGGAGCCGGGGTCTCACCTTTGTTCTCCCTGGTGCTCTGACGCCCAATATCAGAGGCCCGGGGCTCTGGCTAGAACACAAACGTCTTAGATCCATTCAGTGTTGGAAGGTGCCCCCAGAACCCCAACCTGACTGTCCTCTCCTCCTAGTGGAGCTCTACCCCAACGGCCGAGATGTTGGCCAGAAGGTCTTCAAGACAGCAGGCTTTGTAAAACGTTTCCAGGAGGCAGAGCAAATGTGCGCGCAGGCTGGGGGGCAGCTGCCCTCCCCACGCTCTGCAGCTGAGAACTATGCCTTGCAACAGCTGGTCGAGGCTGAGAACAGTGGAGCTGCATTCCTGAGCATGACTGACTTTTGGATGGAGGGCAGGTTCACCTACCCAGAAGGGGTGCCCCTGGTCTATTCCAACTGGGCCCCCGGGGAGCCCAACGATGATAGTGGCAGGGAGGACTGTGCGGAGATAATGGCCAACGGCAAGTGGAACGATGTGCCCTGTGGAGCGAAGCGCCTTGTGATCTGCGAGTTCTGAGCCCTTGGGGTGGGTGGGGCAGCCATGGTGCAGAGGCCTGGCCCAGACCCCTGTGCTGCTGACACGACAAGGAAGAGCTGAGGGTTCTGTGACCTGGTTTCTGCACAGAGCTGAGGGATGAGGCCCACCAAGGGCTCCCATGGAACTCCTCTCTCATAATAAAATACGAAACTGGCTTTCTGGCTGCTGTGTCAGAGGAAGAAGGGCCAGCCTGCTTTCCCAACTGCAAGGGATAAAATTAGTCCCCAAAATCCAAAGGCTCCTCCTCAGCCCTCTGCCTCCTCAAACTGTCAACCCAGCTAGTCACTCCCTGCTCTGTCACTCCCTCCTCTGTCACTCCCTCCTCTGTCTCTCCCTCCTCTGTCACTCCCTCCTCTTGCTTTGGTGTCCCCTTATGGCAGTTCCTTATCTTCCTCTTTTGCTTGCCCCTCCTCCTCTGCTTGGCCACTTAATGGTGACCTGCTCAAGCCTTAGCTCTCAGTTCTCTTCACTTCTCACCCTCACTCCAGGGATGAGCTCATTCTGTCCAGGGCTCAGATCCCTGGCACCCACATTACATGCCTGCCCAGGACCTCCTGGGGCCCAGACCCCTTGGCCAATGCCAGCTGGAGCCCCAGGGCTGGGCGGTTCCAGTGGCTGCTCCTTGTTTCAAGGCCTGAGACCCGGAAGGAGCACAGCGCCGTGGGCTGACCTGGCAGGTCATCTGCCTCCCTGGCAGGACTGTGTGGCCCAGTTGAGTAGCCTCCTCCGCATCCCTGCACACCAGGACCTCATTCTACCCTGTCATTGTGACTGCCTGTCGGCTCATGGGAGGGAGTCCCACCTGCACAATCCCCATTCCAGCCGAGATCTCAGGCACAGAGGGTCCAGCCAGGCTCAGGTTCACCCCCAGCCCTGCCCTGGCCTCCATCCAGGAGGTTCTTCCCCCAGGCCGGTCAGAGACAGCTGGGCAGTTCCTCCTCCTCCTCCCACAGAGAGTGGGGAGTGGGGGAGAGACTTGCTCAAGGCCCCAGGTGTGTCAGTGCTACAACTTGGTCACGAGAAAGGACATCTGATCCCAAACCTTATATTTCTGGCCTGTCAACTTTTAGGCCAAAGGCCTCTGTATACCAGTTGATTTTAATGACACTTGTGCTTAAGAAATTGGAATGACAGCCGAATGAAGCCCAGGCTCATAGGAGAGGCAACAAGACAGGAAACCAGCCCTCCTTTGTTCCCAGGGACCGGAGGCCACACCCCTCTTCCCAACACAGCAGCCACACCTCAGATGTAGGACAGCAGATCTGAAAGCAAAAAGCCACATCTAATACCCATGGTGTCAGATGGGTAGGAGATTGACGGGAATGATCAATTAGTTGAGGAGGCAGAGGGCTTAGTAAGTTATGTAATGACTATCCACTGGGATGTACAGCTGAAATTAATATCACACAGCATGTCACCTCTAATTTAAAAATGAAAAATAATTTAAATAAATAAAGTGATTATTGATAGGTAAAAAAGGAAAAACGTAAACCACATCTCCCAACAGCACACAGCTCAGTCTCTCTGCTGAGACCTTTTTCCTATTACTGGAAAAAAAAAAGCCCCAAGTCCTGGCAGCTTCTGAAATATGTCAGTTATGCAGCAGTGGGCAAATACTCTTCAATTCAGAAGTTACACCTGGACAGCATCTGCCAGGGAGCTTAAAAAGGTATTTCATTGCAAATAGAAAGGAAAAAGCAGTGGATATGGTTTAAGCCCAGGGAGGCATTTTTTCTAAGAATGAAGAGTTCTGAGGTGGCTCAAGGACTGCGGGTGCACAAGCAGCGCTGTGCGGTCTCCCTGCTTCTGCCTCTGTGCATCCTCACCTCTCTTCCTCCTTCTCCCACCACCTTCTTCTGCTTCTGGCTCTCAGCTGCCCAAGCACAGAGTCATGTGTCACACCGAGATCAGAAACCCTTGCTTGATATCAGGTCAAAATTCCTGTGGAAGTGAATCTGCCTGTCTCAGATGCCCACCTCTGGCCCAACAGACTAGGCCTGAGGTGGACCCCACAGCACAGTATGGCCATTGGGACCCATGGAAGGTCATGGTGGTCCAACAGTCCTTCTAAAAGTGACCACTTTCCAACCCAGGACATAAGGCAACCCATTTCTTTGACGAAAGTGGAGGTAAATTGCATAACTGACTCAATGTGAAGAAAGATGTGTCCTGTGGGGTTGAAGGGCAGGAATGTGGAGACCCAGGTCCTGGGAGAAGCTTTAGATCCACCTCAGCACGGGGTCTGGTTCCCTCTCCAGCACAAGAACAGTAAGGAGGTTCATTTGGAATCTGTAGACACGCCAACAAAAGCCAAGGACTAAGCAAGTATTCCAGAAATTCCGGTTTCAACCTTTCTTAG